TTGGGTTGGCGCCTACGGTTTGGTGCCAAATCGCGCTAAATATCAAAATCAGATGTCAAATTCATCGTCAGGACCATTTTGAAGCCAACAAGTGGCCGCCAACCTTGATTGCAAAATTTAGTCGCCGCGGGGGATTGAACCATCAAGAGTATTATTCACCACTTTTTTACTACTAAAACCGTTCAGCGAAAACGAAACATGGTTTTGTGGTCCATACATGCGTCCCTACAACATGTACTAAACCGTTTCCAAAAAGCGCACCTTGCCCTGAAAGACCTCCCTTGTTAGTCTATAACGACAGCAAGCTTTTTTGGATCACCAGCCAATTAAGGGAAGAAGGGGAACAGTCAAAAGAATCGTCCGGTCGTTGCGGCGCCGCGTTCAGCTAGCTTCGCGGTGTCGCGACGCGGCAATATTCGAAAAGCGCAGGATTTTTGAATTTGACCGTTGGTTGGGTAGTAACGGAGCGGGTTGCTTGGCGTATTATTAACACGTTGGAGACCACGCATACAGTCGATATCTCGAAGTCTGATTGGGCGTGTCACCGGAAATGACGTGGCAGCCACCGCACTTGATAGAAGTTGCGCGGATAAGCTGCTTCCAACACGCTTTGCTGATATCTGGCGGAGTATTTATCCACACAACATCTATCAAGTGCGGTGGCTGCCACGTCATTTCCGGTGACACGCCCAATCAGACTTCGAGATATCGACTGTATCTTACGTTTTGAGGCCGCGTGGGAGTAAATTTTTAGGAACCTTACAAGGAAACTGAAAACGAATACCTACTGTATGCTGCAGAAGAAACCTTATCAAATGAAATGGAAAACAAAAGAAAAGAAAAAGTCTGTATATTTTTCCGAAATGTGGACAAAAATTCCCTACGCGGTTGACAGACTGCGGCCCACATATGGGCCGCATGGGTCCAAGGTGCTAATATTCAAATTCACAGAAACTCGTACACTGCGGTTGCGACGTTGCGGCCACGGCCACTAGAGAGGGGTTCTGGACGATTCTATTGACATACATACAGGGAAGAACACTTACCCATCCATATGTCATGCGAAAAATACACAGAAAAAATACTCTTTCGAAGCTGGGCTATCTAATGACGAGTCTTTTCGCAGTGCTAGCAGAGTGTATTCAGAAACAGTCGTTTTTAGCGAAGTGGATTAGCAAATGAATAGGACATTGCCAACATGTTTGAACAGATGTATGTGCGACCACACACGACTCATGTCAGGGCTATGATTTATAAGGGAAGGGAAACTATCTGGACTCCATCAGCTCCGTACAGTTCTTCGCTCCATCAGCTCCGTACAGTTCTTCGCTGCCGCCCTTACAATTCTTTTCATATGGGCGGCTTATTTTCCTACTCCTTCCACCCCCACCCTGTCAGAGTTTCTTAAGTGGCTGTAAAAATGCAATCCTTGCCATCGAGGCTTTGGAAACATGAGAGGCACCTTCCCCTTTTCTCAGATGTTTGGAAAGCTTATTTGTCCTAGAATTTCGAAAGTAGGGAAATGATCAAAAACATGTAACATAAAAATAAAGAAAAGTTACAGGATCGACCTGATCAATCCCTTTTTGAGATGCGACACGCATTCCTTTATCACTCCGAAATCGTAGAAGCAGTGGGGACGCGGCTGAGCCTATACACAGAGTTTGGCTTTCAACCAACTCTCTAGTTTTTTGTTTTACCGTCCTACACGAATCTTTTACCTACTGACCGGCTCAAAGGACACTTTCATGGCCTGAACATAACTGAAAAAGGGATTTTACCCCGTCCACCAGCGCGGACCCACGCACAAATCATAGATACATTCTTGAAATTAATGGTTGAAAGCAACTACAGAGCGAGCTGCATGGAGAGGCTTTTCTAGCCCTACGAGCAACATAAAGTATAAATCCATTCGGTATGTTCAGGTAAGCAATGCTGTCTGTACTGGTCGCCTGTTTCGCTTTGGCGACATCTGTTTCCGCAACAGCCTTTACCGACTTGAACTGCACGAACGGCGATGCCACAACATCAGCGGTAAGTCAAATTCTGCACTGATTTTGATCCCTTGCCCCAAAAGCACTTCCACGTTCTTCAAGTTGCTGTTACTACTGTACAGTACTGTTACATCGCAACTATTCATGGCATTCCCTTTTGCTTTCCCACTGTTGATTCATTAAAGCCCTTAAAAATTCTGCTCCTAAAGACCCCGTTCGTATCTACGTGCATTTTTTAGTTCCTTGCCTCAGCAACTGCATGCGATGACAACTACTCTGGGGCAGCATGCACCGCCCTATTCGGTGTTGCAGCCGCTGGAGGAGGGACAACCGACAGGGACGCTTTGTGCTTGACGGTGAGAGAAAAGATACTTACAAAATTACGAAAACTATTCTTTAGTCTTCATACATGAGCTGACCCTAAAATCCCTAAGGTAGTTGTTATTCATTTGAGACGGTACTCAAGGCAGACATGAAAAATGCAAGCGCAATTATATACTATAAAGATTGCGTTAATTCTAGTGCTAATAACACAATATGTAACCGCTTTTTTGCCCTACGTTCGAACATCTTAAGCCTGTAGAGCAAACGGCACATGAACTTTAAGAGAAATAAATATTGGGCCAGCTGTACATGTAGAACTCTGCAGTTTTAAGCTTGTCTTGAGAGTCACAGTTAAAGAACAATACCTGCGAATTCCTTCTTTTAGACTCCAGAAGTGAAGGAGATCGCCATCGCTAACTGCCCGAAGCACTGTGGCTACTGTTGTATGACTCCTGAGTTCAAGTGCACCAACAAAGACTGTTCGTTATCCATTTCTTTGTTATTATTAAAGGAATCTTCCACGGACCATGGACCAGTGGGCGGGACCGGAAGTGGTTTTGCGACGAAATGCATGGTAGGTACGGATCCACGTTCATGGGAAGGTTTGAAGTGAATCCTGTTCACGTTCGTGCGTTCGACACGTGGATCCGTACCTACCATGCATTTCGTCACAAAAACTTCCGGTCCCGCCCACTGGTCCATGGTCCGTGGAAGATTCCTTTAAGTCAAAGCCAGGTTCAAACTAACGATAGACATTTAGTTCCACGAGTGAGATGCTCGACTATTACTCCGCCTCAGTGCAGAGACCCAACATGGAGAACAATCATTGCTGAAGACTGTCCGAATGTCTGCGGTTTCTGCCTTCAAGGTGAGCCGACCATGAGCTGGTTCTGAAAAGCCCTCAGGTTCCGTATACTCGACATGAAGCGAGAACGGAGACACAGACGTTTCAGCGCACGAGCAGCAGCGCATACTGTGGCTATTTAGTACTGTAGTTATTTGTGTACAATGGTACGTCCCATATTACACAGAACGCGCTGTTTCTCGTCCGCTGACCTGTCTGCGTCCCTGCCTTCTCGCCGCGCGACAGGCCTCCTGTCGGGTAGCCTAAAATCCGATCTTAGGTGGATGCGTCGACACAACGATCGAATGCGAGAATGACCCGGCCATCTGCAGAAATGTCGATATGCAACCATTCGTCCGGGTGAGAAATACTGCCGTTTTCCAATTGATCTGCAATCAGACGGGTAACACGTGTTAATTAACAATGTATGCGTTGTGAATTTCAGACGAACTGCATGAGAACCTGTGGATACTGTCCTACAGCCGTAACTGTCGCAGCCTCCGTAACAGGTTACCATCTCGAACAAGTTCTTATTAAAGCGCTTCAGGCATCAGTTAAATCTGTTTTGTTTAGTTGCCAGCGGAACGAGCACTTGCTCTGATTCGAGCTCTAGGTAGGAATTTGGATAGTTGTCTCTTTCTCGTCCCTCAACACGGAAGTATCTTTTACAGTTGCGCCACCTGGATAAGAAATGGCTTCTGCACCAGCGCCTTCTACACTGCTGCCCAGAAGATATCTTACTGTGGCAGATCATGTAATCTCTGCTAATTAATGGTACACGACCATCACACACGACCGAATCTCTGTAGATAGCACGATGCAACTTTTTATGATGGCAGGCGGACCTGACTAATTCGTTTCTCATTGATAAATCTAAAATCTGATATTTGGTTGCTATCTCTTCCACACATAAAATGATTCTCCAAACATACAAAACGAAAGAAACAAGAAATTTAACTAGTGGAGTTGTTTGAGAAGGACAGCTGCCTTGCACTTGCTGCCGTGGCAAACGTATTTTTGGTCAAGAAGTTAGGCAAGAAACAAAGTGTGTTGTTTTTGAACGATCTCTTAGGAAAGCAATCGATTTATGAAGCTCGTTCAAAGTCAAAATATAAAATATCCGCTACTAGAGCAAAAATGTTACAACACTTGAAGACCTCCTATGGATTTTTTTCTGATTTCACGTTGGATTCAATGATGGTAAAATAGCGCTAGTCGTACGGAGGCAGTGACAGCCGATCAAGAGTATGGGCTCATCTCTTCAACCGTGAGGGCCACTAGTTCGATAGCTGTCTTAAGAAAGTGCAACAATGTCTTAGTTCTAGAGTCACTCTCAGGATGACAAGTCTGCTGATGAAGGCCCCAGCCACAACAAAATGATTGGAAGTCGCAAAACAACCAGCGATAAAGCTCGTATGCAATAAACGAGAAGCGAATTACGTATATTCCACCAGTTAATAAACGAAAGACAAGACATTCTATCAGTTTTCGACGATGACGTCATTTACAGCTTACCTGTAGAGGCCAACCTAAAATGCAAAATTTTTTCACCATAGGGAACAAACCATTTGACAAGTCTTTCTGGCATCGCATCGCACTTAAAGGAAACGATCACGATAGTTATAAGAAGGCTTAAAGGAGACGTGGATGGTGCTCAATGGTACGCCAGTGGCGAAAAAAGCGGAAAATCCGTCAAGAAAACGCAAAACGGGACCCCTTTTTTGGCCGTTGGTTTTCACTCATGAACAGGTAACAGCTCAGAAAGCGGACGTATGAACGAGTTCACCGCAACGCGTTTGGTGGCACCATGCCAAACCACGCTCCAATCGAGTTGCTCCAGTTGTGCCGCTGCTGGCAACGCAGCTCGTCCAAATCACCAACTAAACTAGTGGGCGGATCGCTTTTGGGGGCGGAGTGCTTTCGAAGTCCTGCTCAGCAACCAGCGCACCTTTCGTCGTGAAAGCGCCACACCTCGCTTCCTGGCAGCCAAGTAACTGATTCGTGTGGTGCATATGCTTCCCCGATGCGCTCCCTCTTTATCGTAATCGCTGCAATGCCACGAGTCGGGATTAGGTTCAAAAGCCAGTCCCTTTCAGAGTGACGAAGAGGGGCTCCCATGGGCAGGAGGCCCGACACTGTCGCGACTTAATGGTGCGCAGCAACAGCCGTAAGGCCTTGCCTTGTGATTAAAGGAAAGGATCAATTCCTCGACCGTTATTCCCCCGGCTGGAACAGTTAATTGGCAAGAGTGAGCATTCGACTGGATTTCGCATGCCTTGTAATTGTTGAGTGTTCCTGATTTGGAGATGTACAGCGATAACATCACCTGTATCACCTGTCGTCCCGTTGATCATCGAATTGCTCGAGCGGGCGCCAGCAACGTCTCCATTCGTCCCTGTCGCGTGCAAGAGTTGTCCAGTGGACCCTCCTCGCTCGAGGGACACGATGTCCTTCATTCCTTTCGTTCAGAGCTTTCGTGAAGAAGTCTGACCATCGGGCCGGCGGTCGTCCAGGTGTTCGTTTGACGTCCCGAGGGATCCAGTCGGTAACCGCTCTGGTCCAACGGTCATCGCAAAATCGCATGACGTGTCCGGCCCACCTTATCTTCGATTCCTTGGCGAAAACGGCAGCGTCCCTGATCTTCGATCGTTGGCGTAGTTCGGCACTCCGGATTCCCCTCTGCACTTGCGTGTATAGGGTTACTCCTAGCATCGTCCTCTCGACAGCGCGTTGGATAACGCTGACCGCATGCTCGTCCTGCCTGCGCAGAGTCCAAGTCTCTGAGGCGTAGGTTAGGGCAGGAAGGACAGCGGAATCGAAGAGGTGGGCACGGAGCCGGATGTTCTTCGTCTTCTTCACTACTCCCTCGATGTTCTTGTACGCTCCCCAAGCCGCTCGTTTCCTCCTGCTCAGCTCTGGAGCTAGATCGTTCATCATATTGATTTCCCGACCTAGGTACACGTAGCTGGAGCATTCGGTGATGTTCGTTCCGTTGAGCGTGAATGGGGCATCAGGAACCAATCCGTTTCTCATAAACATCGTCTTCGTTAGGTTCAGCTGTAGACCGACCTTACCACAGGCGCAGTCGAAATCAGCCAGCATTCGCTCCGCTTGCTCGATGTTCGGCGTTATAAGAACGATGTCGTCAGCAAAACGAAGGTGGTGTAGTTGCCGGCCGTCGACCTTCACTCCCATGTCTTCCCATTCCAGTTGACGCATGACGTTCTCGAGAGCGGCGCTGAAGAGTTTGGGCGAGATGGTGTCGCCCTGTCGAACCCCTCTCTTGACGTCGATGATGACCTCCTTGTAGAATGGTGAGATTCTGGTCGTAAAGTTGCTGTAGAGCTCACGAAGAATCTTGATGTACTGAGTAGGGACGCCCTGGTTGCCCAAGGCTTCGATGACCGCTTCTGTCTCCACAGAGTCGAAGGCCTTCTTCAAGTCGATGAACGTGAGACAAAGCGGCATCTTGTACTCTCGTGAAACTTCAATGAGTCTTGTAACCGTGTGGATATGGTCGATCGTGCTGAACCCTCTTCGAAACCCTGCTTGCTCGCATGGCTGTCCTTCATCTAGTATTCTGCCGATCCTGTTAAGGATGACTCGAGTGAATAGCTTGTAGATTACAGACAGCAGGCAGATTGGGCGATAGTTGCCAATGTCGTCCAGGTCTCCCTTCTTGTACAGCAACACGGTCCTGCTGGTTTTCCACGGAGTGGGTACCTTGCATTCCGACAGGTAGCGCGTGAAGAGTCGAGCCAGAGTTTTGATGATAACTGGCGGTGCATTCTTCAGATGTTCCGGTTTAACCCTGTCGAGACCGGGTGCTGTACGATTCTTCACCGACTTGATGGCGTGTCGGACTTTCGGAAGAGAGAACTGAGGGGACGACGTATCCATCCTGTTGCAGTTGATAAGTGGGCAGATGGACATGGCTATCGAAGAGATCCGAGTAGAAGTCGTGGATGACTTTCTCCATTGCCCTTCGGGATGCAGTAACTGTTCCATCCGGACGTCGGAGGCAGGTCATCTTGGTCTTGTAGCTGGCAAAGCTTCGGCGGGCATTGCGGATGCTCCTCCCAGCCTCTGCTGCTTCAGCTAATACTGCTGCTCTTCGCTCCTTGAGATCTTCCTTTATCGCCTCTCTGCATAGCTTCGCAAGCTCGGACGTGAGTTGGTGATTGCCTGCAGCTCGTGCGGCTCCACGTTGGCGTATCAGCTCGAGAGTTTCCGTAGACAGACGTCCTTTGGTGACTTGCAAACTCTCTGCCTTCCTGCCACTCTCGTGAAGGTGTTCAACGAGCCGATGATATTCCTCGTCGATGTTCTCGATAACGGAATCCTCCCATAAGCTGACAAGGGAAGCGAAGTGGTCCCAGTTGATGACTGTCCTGGGGCTTCGCTTCCTGAACTTTGCTGCTCTCTCAACACGCATCGAGAAGTGGAATCTTGCGCGGAGGAGACGATGGTCCGATCCCGTGTAGAACTTTGGAACAACAGCGACGTCGGTCAGGCAAAACCTTCGATTGAAGATGATGTGGTCTATCTCGTTATGGAACTGTCCATCAGGTGACTCCCAAGTCCAACGAAGGTGAGGGGGCTTTTGGAACTGTGAGTTACCATGGATGGTGTTGGTCGACATGATAAACTCCGACAGTCTCTCACCCTGCTCATTCCATTCCATTCCGTGAGTACCGATGTGAAGTTCTTCAGCCGTTCTTCTTGGGCCAATCTTAGCGTTGAAGTCGCCGACGATGACCTTGAAGAAGGTATGATCTTCCTTGTAGAACTTCTCCAATTCCATATAAAATGCTTCGTGTTCCTCGTCGTAGCTCGATGTTGGTGCGTAGGCGACGAAGATTGTCAAAGCAGGAGTTGAACCACATCTTCTCAATCTCAAACGTCCGATTCGGGTCGTAAGGCTTTCGTACGAATCGATGTTTATGGCCAAGTGCGTGTTGACGAGGACACCCACACCGCCAACGCCTCTGCTGTCGCATGTTCCAAGGAACAGTTCTTCTCCAGTATCGAAAACGGCGTGTAGCGGGCGGTGCCTTCTCGTCTCGGTCAGTCCGATGACGTCGTACTTGATCTTCCTGGCCTGCATCATCAGATCTTCGATGTGAGCTTCGGATGCAAGCGTTCGTGCGTTGAAAGTACAGATCGCCATCTTAGTCCTTCTTCGTTTAGGCAGCCTATCCGGGCCCTGAGATTCTAGCAGCCTTTAACATCTACTAAGAAAATTCTTATCTCAACGATACGTTCCTCATGATTTTTCATGTGGCAGGTGCTCGAGGTTGTCAAGATTCTCGCAGATAGTTTTTGTCGAGACGCCTTTCTGGAAGCATTGTCATAAGCACTACAAATTTGTTCCAGTTGAAAACATCAGAGAGCTATGAAGCACTTACATACCTCAAGAAGACGTGAGATTGTTTTCCAACCATCGCAGATGTTATCGGCAGGAGGTAATTTGCTGAGGAAGTTACAGACCGCCTACAAAGAACGTCACATTTGCAAAATCAAAGTCTTTTTTTATTGCTGTTACTAGCAAACAAACTATTTTCTCTTGTAAAAAATCGCAGGAGTAAATTATTTCAGAAAAGCAGATACCGTTTCGGGTTGGTGAGCTCCATGTCTCGCATCAACAACATACACGACATAAATTACTGATGCAGATTAGGCTGCTTGCATTTAATGCTCATTCTTGGAGGTGGATTGCATCTGAAACTTAAAGAAGCCGCTTCTCCTGAGCCCCAAATGCTCCGGAGATTTGGTCATGCGCTAGCGGAATCCTGCACGGAAACCAAATGGCTCTCTTCCTGTTAGGAATCGCTGAATTGAGGGCTATCTTTCATGATAAGGCCGGGAAGGAAACGGAGCTCGCGTTTGTTTGGGGAACATTTCAAAATCAGGGTAAATATTCCTTATTCAAATTCCCTTCCCGAGCTCCACAAATAATCCGGCTGGCTCGGTGACACTTTTCTAGCAAAATCCTTTGTCATGGAAAAATTTCATTAAAATTCGGCTTGGTTCTTTAAAGGAATCTTCCACGGAAAAACTCCGCCTCCATTCCCACAAAAAAAACGATACCTTAGGCCCCTTGCCTCATGAAGATAGCAAAAAGAACGGAACATAAGCGATGGTTTTGATAATAATTATGATAACCAGTTCGACTATGAAAATTTTGAATTCCCGCTGTAAAACTTCCACAACTGTTAGCGGCGTGGAGTCAACACGTGCAAACGTGTCAAAAGCGTGAACGTGAACAGGATTCATGTTGGACCTTCCCATAAACTGACACGTGGATCCGCACCTGCCATGCACTTCGTCACAAAAGCACTTCCGGTCCCGCCTACTGGTCCAATCCGGTCCCACAGATGGAGTCTTTCCAGGGCTGTTCTTTTGGGGGTTTCATCATTTTCGCTCTGAACTTTGCACATGGTCTTCAATGACCATGCCCAACACCTGTACACAAGAAAGGATAAGCAGTTTTCCCGTGGAAGATTCCTTTAAGAGTCGAGCGAAGGGCAAATAGTACTCAAAGATGAAGCATTCAAATTGATAAGGCTCCAAAGCCATTTCGAATATGAGTAACCTAATCACATATCACCAGTGCTAACCAGACAATGGAGCGATAGAGATGCTGACTGGTATTCATGCGGTGTTAAAATCATTGCAAAAGGGTGTTATATACCGACAGATTCTCATTTAACTGCGGAGAATTTTTCAATAAGGAGCACACTTTCAAACATTACTCTTCAACTGTATCTCTACGAAGCTAAATCATAAGATTTTCCGAGCGATGACTCATACCAAGATGACAGCTCTTTCATGCAAAGAGGCAAGATTCCCTCGTCAAATTGCCAACAATTTCTTAATAAGGGCCACTCGGTGGAAACATCCACCTTCAATCGCAGTCCTGAAATGCCAGACCTTCTTAATTTCAGAGCACTGATTCCTGTTAACCTTACAGATCCTTATTGAAATGACGCAGGTTGCCGTCGAAACCTGCAGAATTAATTAGCTGCAATCGGTGGAAACATATGATTTCAGAAACAATTTCAGAACACATCTTGTCATTTTCTAGGCAATGATTCATAGTAGCATGAAGCATCCCCCTCTGCAAAGAAACGTTGTTCGTCGAGATTAGCTTACCAGGAGAGGGGTGGGTAGGGAGGTGACATTAAAGTGAGTGAGCCAAATTTTGTGCTTGGGACTAGCCCTAATGAGTGAAAGGAATTTGAGGGAGGATGTAAGGAATTTCACTTTTCCCTGGAGTTCTCCCCATTGCTGTGCTTATTGTTAGCCCTGTCACCTACCAACGTCCCTGTTTTGCATGTCCCCTTCAGGAGATGAGCGGCTGTAAAAGCAGCATTAAATTTTGTGCGGACTTCATATGTAGTGTTTGGACAATGTCAGAATCGGAGTGATTCTTGATGTGATACTGCACTTATAGTTTCTTCTACGGGAATGCAAGAAAGTCGCTGCTGTAATTTTAGCGAGGAAAAACTATCGGGAAGGTGCTCTTAGGGGTGCTGAAGTGACTACTCGGATCTCATCAATGATCAATGACCGAACGAACACGGAGTGGCGCTGTTGCACTCTTACAACGGTGGACTGCCTAATGGGTCCAGGTCCCCATCAAGGGGACGACAAGCTGGCCGAAAACTCTGGATCCCAGTGATGTTTACACCTCAAAACCTCGTTGGCAGGAGAAAGGCAACGACGTGACCAACCACTCGTTTTCCTGTTTTTTTTTTCTGTAAAAAAGCAGGAAACAAAAAACCTAACCTTTGAGAAAATTGAGGTTTTATTCTGTAAGGTGTACGGCGGTCAGAGTGCGCGGCAGGTACTAGCGCCAAATAATAAATAAATAAGATCCTGGATTGGTTCAGTTTATCTAGAGAACGTTTTTGGTCTCGAACCTAATTCTCTTCTTGTCGGCTGCGTGGCTGGCACAACATTTATTGGACAGGATTTTTGAACTCTGCTAACTGCTCCTTAAGCGCTTTCATAGCGAATTTTCGGCTCGGAATAGGGGCTCCAAACTACTTTCTTGTTGCACTAATTTCTATCAAATTCCGGTGTGGGTTTTAGATGAAAGCGAAAATCTCGCGAAGTGCTATGGAAGGGATTTTGGGAAATGTGATGTGGGAGAGGCCAAGCGCGGCTTGTTCTCCTTCTTTGACTTATGGGCTGTACAAATATTAGTTATGACCGCACAAGGCCAAGTTCTGCAATTTAGCGATCTCTGATCTCAGCATGTGATACTTTTGGATCGGCATTATCTACCGCAATATAGCTATAATTCATTGCCGAAATGCGATTGGGTAGAATATGAGTTGATAAGAGTGGACGAAGAAGAAGTTTATACGCGGTGGAGGAAATTCTTCCAGAAGTTGCATCTTGTCAACGCGAAGGAAGTGGCCGCTGAACGTAGCTTTCCCAGTTTTGCTTATTAGTGTGTTGTTTCTTTAACCTGGATATTATCCCTGGGACTTTAAAACGTTTCTATGAGGGTGGTGGGTAGGGATGGGGTTCAACTAAGGGACTTATGCTGTAAGATGGGGTGAAAATTTCGCGAGGGCCTTTTTATGGTATGGTGTTTTAGTTCGTGTTGGGGCACAATAGGCGTCTACGTCAGTGACGGGATGGTGATTGATGCAGGGAGCTCCGAGAGTTTTTAGAAGCAAAGGTTCGTTGTTTCAAACAGAGAGAAACAAAAACCGGCTTGTATGGCAAATTTTGGAGGAAACTGTGTGCGCTCGACACTAGGGTTGCAGTTTGGGGTAGGCATTCACAGAGCCGTGTCCGCGGGCCTGTAAGTGAGAATGATGTCGGAGGCTTCTCGTTGGCGGCAACATTATGTTAGTCAAAGCGATAAAGCCCAATTATCGAAAAATGGTTGTGAGTCAGTTTTCTCAGACTCTTCCTTTGCTGTTGGCTCATTGCATTCACTCAGGCAGGAGGGGACCCAGACGGAAGAGAATTATCTAAAGTGCTTAACAGAATTCACGGATAAAAGGTTTGCCCTTTGATGGTGGTTCCTGGGGAATGCGTCCTGAGGTGGAGTGCCGTTGCCTCATGCAGGGATGTTTTCCGTGAGTGCGGGCAAAAGTTTGGCTGTGAGCAAATGTCTGGATTGCTTTTGAGCGAGTTTCATGGTATAATTGGGTGACTCCGTTCGCGGGGGGGGGGACAACTTGCTGTCTTATCGTTGTCTAGAGAGAAGTTATTACGAATAAGTGAACGACTCATTTCGAGCGTACTTTTGATAAGGACCGGTGGATGTCCTACATTCCACACTACCTGCCCACATCCCATCCACTTTTCTGCACAGGTGATCCACCCTGGAGCTCCTGCACCCTTAGCCCTTTGCGGAGGTGTCCTTTCTCCTGGTCCAGGACCGTTCCCTTGGGTCATGGCAGGCGGAAATGTGAAAACGTTTCAGGGGGGGGTTTTTTCTTTTTTTTCACCCCCATACACGATAGTTATCGGAGTCTTAGCTTCAATGAGTCGTTAGTGTCGGTGTGAGCCTCTAGCTTAGTCTGGGGGGTGGGAGGTTAAAATGGAGTTGGCCCCGAACTGGAGTTTACTATTATTGTATGATACGCAACGGCACTATTGTTCAGGTGTGATACGTTGCAGGTGAGATTTTGGCAGGCTCACTGCCAGTCAAGGAAAGCTTCCCTCACTAATAGTCTCACTCAGCTTTACGGAACCGTTTCCTAGGCCAAGCTTCATCCCAGCTCCTTTTTAGCAGTGCCATGTTGAAGCGGAAGTTCAGGATCAGCCAATGTTGACTATGTGGATTCGCAAATGAATAGAACGTTTCCAACATGTTTGAACAGATGTACGTGTGACACACGGGGCATGTAGCTGCAATGATTTATAAGGGAAACAATTTGGTCACAATCAGCTCATCGATGCTCCCTCTGCATTATCCGTTTTCGCGACTTATAAATCTCTTGCGTTATTTGTCAGGTCAGGTGGCCCGGTTATATGAATTTTTCGAAATTCGAGAGCTCGTCAAATGTGATTGTTCTTTTTAATCTTTCATAAACCCAAAGGGTCGATGTTTAGGGTATTTATTTAGTTCTAAGAAAAGCGTTCCAAGAAGTATCCCGATCGCTTTTTTCCAGGTAAACAATGTTGTGCGTGGTCGTCTTTTTTGCCTTGGCGTCGTTGTTTCGGAACGCGTCACTGACAGGAATATGCATAAGGGGCGGTCAACCAACGGTAGCAACGTCTGTCAGATATCTATTTAGAACGGTAGAAACACCTGAGCAGGAAGAGGCGGCTTCGACTGTAGGCCGAGGACGGTTCCGTACCATTACCGCTCAATCTTTCCCTTCTCCCTTTTCAAATGTTTTCGCTCTCTGTAATAGATGGAAGCACTAACAGACATTGCTTCTGATTTATCATGAACATTGCTTCTAATTCAATCGTTAATGTCGTCCCCCTATTACTATGGGGGAGAATTCACATCTGTACATGTATTGGTAATTTACTAATCCACGTTTATAGGTCGTTCTCAGCGACGGGGTGGCGTGCAATTATCTGGCTGGCAGCATGCATCTCGGATTCGCAAGTGCAGTCGCAGCGGCGGACACGGAGGTGAGACGATCTGACGGTGAGGGATAGAGATGTAATAGATGATTTCGCAACAATCTTGAAGAATCCTCCATTCAGACTCCGGAAGTGAAGGAGATCGCCATCGCTAACTGCCCAAAACACTGCGGCTACTGCTGCTTGAGTCCCGAGTTTAAGTGCTTAAACAAAGACTGTTCGTTTACAATATAAGCTACTATAGTGAGCTGCAGCGAAATTCAATCCAGCTTGAAATATTTCAGTTCCACGAGTGAGGTGCCAGACCATAACTCCGCAACAGTGCCGGGACCCAACATGGAGATCAATTATCGCTGAAGACTGTCCCAATGTATGCGGATTCTGCCTTCAAGGTGAGTCGTCCATGAGCTGATTTTGAAAAGCTCTAAGATTCAATATTAGGTGGGTGCGTCGACAATACGATCGAATGCGAGAATGATCCGGGAATCTGCAGAAATGTCGATATGCAAGCCTTCGTCAGGGTGAGATTTTCTTTCGTTTTCCAATTGATTGCAATCATACAGGCAACACGTGTTCACGAAAATTAGTGCATGAATTCAAGGCAAACTGCATGAGAACCTGTGGATACTGCCCGACAGCCACAACTGTTGCCACCTCCGTAACAGGTATCACTGAAACAAGCACATTTTTATGTTATATGTAGTTAAGGGTACCCAACAGGATGTCCATGGCGCGGCGAGAAAGAAAGAGGTAGACGGGTCAGCGGACGAGTATATCGCATCAGTAGCGATCGTAAAGTTGGATGGAATGTACTCGTCCCACAGTGCACAGTGCGCACTGCGACTCATTCGCTGACCCGTCTGCGTCTCTGCCCTTTCGCCGCACGACAGGCCTCCTGTCGGGTACCCCAATGTCAAACCTTCAATTCAATCCGCTTCATTTAGTTGCCAGCGGATTATGCTCTGATTCAAGCTCCAGGTAACAAGTTGTGCAGTCGTCGGTTTTTGTTGATCATCACAAGGGCATTTGTTTTCAGTTGCGCCACCTGGATAAGAAATGGCTTCTGCACCAACGCCTTCTACACTGCTGCCCAGAAGAGATCTTACTGTGGCAGATCATGCGGTCTCTGCTAAATGAATGAAGTACCACCACGCACGACCGATTCTCTGTAGATAGCACGATACAAAAATTCGTCAATGTCATAGTAGTCGAACTGACCAGTCCTCTTTCTGTGATAAATCCATTCATGGCATTTTGCTTCTTTGCCTTCTATCGAATAATTCTCTGAAGAATGTGAAGGGAAACATATCAGGCAGAAAGTGATTGAGAAATCCAAAAGAAGCGGGAGCGCTCATTGGGAAAACGATCTCCTCGTAGGAGGTTGTGCTGTTGTAGTAAAGAAACAAATTGGATAAGGGAGGATGATTCTCTCTCGCTTCAGCCCCAGCTGTGGTGAACCACTGAAAGTGATCACCTGGAGCGAACATATCAGAGCCTCATCCATATTAGGGATTGTGCTAATTTTGAACATTCCTCGGTCAACTTGATCTCAGCATTTGGTGAAATCAATCACCAGTATACGCACCATCGATACGGCCACGTCAACGTTGGAGCGATTCGCTGCAGCGTACGTCGCGTACAGCGAATGGCTCGAGCCGCTGACGGCGGACGTCAGCGATTCACTCGATTCGCAAAGTCTGTCGTCAGCCTAGCAGTGAGATGCCCTTGGCTCGAGGCATTAACTCCCTCCCATCAGGACATAAGTCGTGGGCATAATGGGTTCCAGATTTAGCTCTTACTGAACATCACGTGAAATGAATGCATATAGACTCAATTGAACCATCCTATCATGCTCAAGCTGCTCCGGAGTCAATGCCGCTGAAGAGAAATGCAACTCTTCTGGAACTGAAAAAGCAAAGAATTGCCCATCATAAACAAAAGCTGTTCAGACACTTGTTAAACTGAAAACTTAATCCCTCATTGCATGTTTATGATGATTTGGTCTAGTCTACATGCGCATAAAGGCAATTTGAATGCCCAAACTCGTTCGAAAAGGTGAGAGGATTTTAAATACCTTTGTGAAACGTAAAATTACCCGCCAACCACATTATATGTCTTACATTGAGCGGAAAATATTCGCCGTTCACATTTCACACATCGGTTTATTAACGAAGTACCAAAAAAAACAAATGAAAAGTGATTAATGAATGAGCGCCCTCGGGCAATCCCCTCTGTTACCATGAATTTACCCCAAGCTCGGTTGAATCTATAAGCAGATGCACCAGCGTTCGGTTTCGAGGTCAACTTCTCATGTAGCATGGTCATCGTTGTTGCTAAAGTGTGACGTCCGTGGTGACGCAAAAACAGAAGTAATACCACCAGAATGTACAGTAGATTCGGCGCAGGCTTCAGGCGATGTCACAACCTTCGAAAATAATCTGCAAAAATCGAAGAATCATGAGCCTGAAAAAAGGCGAATGATATCCTCTCACCCTAATAATTCCTCGAAAAGAAGAGGGGAATGTAATTGGAAAACAGAAGATTAGGGTCTTGTTGACAGTTGTACAATACCTTAATACGTAGAACGCTACGAGAACACGATGACGACAGCGCAGGTTTTGGGGTTGCCGCATGGGACATGGGCAGTTTGGCGGCGCGATTTGCCTGACGCGCAAGCGCGTCAGCTTGTCCCACGAGGTGCGTTTTTCGGAACTCAAAACTGAAAAGTGGCAAAACAAGGGTACAACGCTAATTGGGAGGAGGGGCTTCCGGTAAGACGCGCGCTGCTTGTCTCTACCCTCTCAGCGAAATACTAGTGATGACATCAATGCAGAATAAGGAATCCATGAGTCTCGGGGAGTATAGCCAGTTCGGGAGATGGGGAGAGAGGAGGGTCGGGCGATTTGAATGACATGCGTGGAAAGCTGGAATGTGCATGTTCACACTATCTCTTCGGATAAATGACTCCAAGAAAGTGGTCGAATCACAGCTGAACGTTGAGCATGAATACTTCCTAAGTCAGTTGCTTCCCACGTGACGTATGTCAGAAGAAGAAGGTAAAGGTTCGAAAGGAATTAACAGAAGAAAGTGTTTAGAACGTTATGCAACTACTCTAAAGAGCAAGGATCGCTTTGCGGCTTAACAAAACAAAAAGGGTTAAACGCGCTGCGGAAGATGTAGAAAATTCTTTGTATAGACTGCTCAAATGAAAAACACAAGTCATCTCATCCATAGAACCGTAATTCCTTGACATTATGTATCACATTGTTGTTTGCATTTATATTTTGTTTTTGTGCTTGTTATTTTTATGCTTGTTAACCCCAAAATAGTAGTCGAAGATTGAACTAAACGGAAAATTTAGTAAGGCTCAGAAAACCTTCGCTTAACTAAAGCATATTCAACCGCTTCATGGACCACACCGTTTACAGGCATGATGATGTATTGTCTATATAATAGTGATAAAAAATTTCGGAATAAGTCGGACAGGTGCGGAAGAAATGGGTACCAAGATGCTGACGCGCATGCGCGTCAGAATGTCCAATGCGGCGCCAAATGTCTGACGCGCTTGCGCGTCAGCCTGTCGTCAACGTGCTAAAGACTGAGGTGGTGAAGCGATTGCTCACTACGACCGTGTGAAGGCCGACAAGCGTTTTCCGAGCACTACTCCTGCAGAAGGCTGAATCACGCCACCGGCTTCGAGGTTAAGTAGCTGGCATTCACCTTCAGCCGACTTCACGCACACAAAATCGAATTACAAAAGGTCACGCACTGCAAAAAGCTATCCACCAGCAGCTCCACTTACCTGTTAGACCGACTTCTGAAGACCCCTTTGAGCTCGTTAGAAGAGCGGGAATATTTTTTCGATCAATCGAAGCAAAAGATTCTAAATACTAACGGCTAGAGACCTGCAGTGACCGGTTAGCCAGTCGGTGGGCATGCCGCGCCGACAGCGCAGCGGGGAGGGCACCGCTAAATCGCCGTGGATTATACTTTGCTGCGAGTTGCGTGTCTCTTCGCACCCTTAGAGAGGTCGCGTATCTTCGCACTAGGTTAATCCCTCTTTCTAGACTTAGAATTTAGAGATAAGAAGATCGCAGGTCCTCTTGTTATGTATGAGGCAACGCTTCCATCACTGCCTTCCCTGAAACAATAAGGTTTGGGCAGTAGAACACGATCACGCACATTTGGTGAGGGACTCCTTGGCACCCGCAGTGCCATATCGAGTCCAATTGGAGCGGATGCCTGTGAGGCGAGTTCTTGGCAGCTATACGGCAACGGTTTCTATGAGGATGGTGGACATGAGACATGTCAAAAATAAGGCTAACATTCATAGTGTAAGATGTGGTAAACATTTTCGCGAGGACCTTTTTACTGCAGCTGATGTTCGAGGTTCTCAGATTTGGGGCACAATAGCGTCCTACCAGTCAGTGAGGGATTGTGATTGATGCAGGAGCTCGAAGCAGCTTCTACTAGAAGCAAAGGTTCGTTGTTTCAAACACCAGGAAGAACAAACAAAACACGGCTAGTATGGCCACAACATTGGAGACAACCTGTGGCGCTCGACACCTAGCAAGTTGCAATGGGTCAGGCAATATCACAAGCCGTGTCCACGGGCCTGTAAGGAGAATGATTTCGGAAATGCTTCTCGTTGCTGCCCACACATTAATGGTAAGCTAAAAAACGATAAAAGTCCCAAAATAATCCGAAAAATGGTGCTTGAGGTCAGAATTTTCTCAGACCTTCTTCCTTTGCCTGCTTGGCGTCATTTAGACATTGCATTCAGCATCAAGGGCAGAGCAGGAAAACCCAAGACGGAAGAGAACCTATATCGATGGTTCTTATACAAGAAACATTCCACGATAAAATTTGCCCTTGCATTGAGTTTCCTTGAGAATGCGTCCTTGAGAGCTGACCGTAGCCTCATGCAAGGGCATTTTTCTACCGTAGTAGGGCAAAAGTTGGCTGTGGAACAAATGATATTGAGCTATGCTTTGACGAAGTTTCTATTGTATGTATATCACGCACACGGAACTATCTGACATTACAGGTGTATCACGTGCAGGTGAGGACTTTTTGCCAGGCCTCACTGCCACTACAAGGAAAAGCCTTCCCTCACCTACATATCTCACTCAGCTTTCACGGAAACCGTTTCCTAGGCCAAGCTTCATCCCAGCTCCTTTTTAGCAGTGCCATGTTGAAGCGGAAGTTCAGGATCAGCCAATGTTGACTATGTGGATTCCAAATGAATAGAACGTTTCCAACATGTTTGAACAGATGTACGTGTGACTACACACGGGGCATGTAGCTGCAATGATTTATAAGGGAAACAATTTGGTCACAATCAGCTCCAATCAGATCTGCACTCCCCTCTGCAATTATCTGTTTAAAACCTTATAAATCCTTGCAGTTATTTCGCAGGTCAAGGTGGCCCAGGTTATATGAAAAATTCTCGAAATATCGGGAATTCCTTCAAAATCATGGCGTGTCTTCAAAATTGTGATAGTTCTTTCTTACATCTTTCAATAAACCCAAAGGGCCGATGTTTTGTACGGGTATTTATTTAGTTCTAAGAAAAGCATTCCAAGAAGTATTCCGATCGCTTTTTTCCAGGTAAACAATGTTGTGCGTGGTCGTCTTTTTTGCCCTGGCGTCGTCTGTTTCGGCAACAGCCTTCACTGACATGAATTGCACTAACGGCGATTCCACAACACCAACGGTAAGTCAAACTTCTGATCAGATGACCTACTTTAGAAATCGGTAAGAAAGCAACCTGAAAAGCATGAAGAGGCGGCTTCGACTGTAGGCTGAAGACGGTTCCGTACCTTTATCGCTCAATCTTTCCCTTCTCCCTTTTCAAATGTTTTCGCTCTCATATGTAATAGATGAAAGCACTAACAGACATTGCTTCTGATTTATCATGAACATTGCTTCTAATTCATCGTTAATGTCAGTCCCCCTATTACTTCACCAGAAACTATGTGCGAGCTCTCGAAAATTCTGTAACATTATTGGTAATTTACTAAAATTCCCACGTTTATAGTTCGTTCATCAGCGACGGGGTGCGATGACAATTACTCTGGGGCAGCATGCACTAGCTATTCGGAATAGGCGGCGAGTGGGAGGACACGGACGG